TTTGCTGTACTGCTGCAAAAATAAACTTGTGCTTTCTCACCTAAGATCCACAGGTCGAAGCGGACGAAATCTACACACGTATTCAACGCTGCTTCGATCTCCTTGCACTATTATTATTGAGACCCGTTAGAAGTGCTTTCACCAAGAATACGCGAAAAACATGTGTTATGTGTAAGCTTAAAATACTATGCTCAAAAATCAGAAAGACTTGCGAATTCGCCTTGCCTTTAAAACAGGATAAACTATTTGACCAGTTGAATTTGACTCGTGACAAGGCTACTAGCAGAGGAAAGCCAGCATCAGCACATGACAATAACTGTGAAGCCTTGGTCAACTTGTTGAAGCCCTGAGAAAACGGTCAAGCCAAGTCGGTTTCATGCATCGTACAACCTGACAGACCCATGACAAGGGACTCAGTCATAATAGGGAATGTCCTGAATGAACACACTTCCACAATGTTTACCACCTCAAACAACCACTTAAGCTTAGCGCTCCTGCTGAAAATACCAAACTGAACGCAGTGCAATTTGATTACGGAGTCATTTGGACTCATATTGATCGCTTATGTCGTTCTTCGCATCCTGGACCTAATCTAGGAACTTCCATAGTAAATTATCGATAGCCAGGATTTGTCGTATAAAATTTTAATTGTTTACGCTATCAACGTACTTAGGATATTCCTGAATCAATGCAAACTCTCCATTAGGCAGTCTAGACAAAATGGTGGCTCACAAGTGGACATTGAAAATTACCACCCAATTAGATATACACCAATAATTTCCAGGATAATGGTAAGATTCGTGAGAGGGAATATCGGTAAGCACTCAATGTCATTGAATCTGATAAACTCTGCCCAACATGAGTTCTTGAAAACGCTCAGGCCAGACTTGTCAGCTTGCATTTTTAACTTATCAGAAAAGCTTCCATGACCGTGGTAAAGTGGCCTTCATTCTCTCCAGTGATAGCAGAAAGGCTTTGACAGAGTGCCACACAACAGTCTTTGGATAAATTAACAAATTTGGGATAGTTGTTCCCCTGCATGCATGGTTCAAACGTTACCTCTCTTGTCGCATGCAACAGATACAAATAGGACAAATTAACTATTCACCAATGGAGATCAAGAATGGTGTGGTACAAGGTACTGTGTTGGGTCTGCTGCTCTTCCTAATATATCTCAATGACCTAACTGAAAAAATAACATCTGGGTCGCCATATATTCATGTGCATAACATAAAATTACTATTCACCTTTGATATCCGGTTTTTGAGTGACACTAGAAAACATTCGTGTATACACACTGGCCTTGGAATCGTGATACACTGATTGGTAAATGCCCTTCTCTGCCGACAAATGCAGTACGTTGACATACAAGTGTGAACCTTCGTCAAATGTTCTTTATCTTGTTTGTAAACCCATCCTATATATCAAGACAATACGTGATCTACTCATCCAGTAATCTTACACTCTGAATTTTGGTGAGCAAGTTGAATTCATATCGGATAGACCACAGAGTTGCAAAATCACGTTAAAATCATTCGCGATGCTTGAACCTAAACTACACTTGTTTAAGGATGTCATTCGCTATGTGCCAGAGTACTGTTCGATTAGTTTTTGCAGGTTGCTGTAAACGTGACCGCGTGTGTCTGGAAAACGTGCATCGCCCATCCACTAAAGCTCTCTTCAACCCCTCGTCCAAACTGAATTACCCAGAGCGTTGCAAGATGCAACAACTGGAGCGACTGTGGCTATGACGCGTGAAGTTAGGGTGAACTTTCCTATTTGACCTGGTCCATAAACGTGTATAAACGTGTACATAAGCAATTAGAAATACCAAGCACGCACTCCGGGAGTCCAGAATGAAAACTAAGTTTCGAGGAAAATTCTGCACAGACTGATACACTGAATTCTGGAACCGCTTACCTGTTGGAAAAAGAGTCTGTGAATTGCAACCAACGTTCACATAAGCAGCTTCTAACAGACAGCACAATACGTAACATCCATGTTATAAGCAAATCACAATGAAAATATAACCTTTGAGGAGGAGGCCAAACCATGGCTGTACTGATTACAGTGGGCATATAATATACCACGTACAGTGTCTCCACTTCGACAGGTCCTCCTGTAGAAGTACACTGTGCATGAAGTTGACAAGTTGACGATACACCTTTTACTCTTCTTTTCCTGCTTTTCTCGGGAAGGAATAGCTGACAGACAGAAAAACAAGTGTAGGATGCAGAGGAATTGCTTACTGAGATTGCTCTAATCACTTACATATCCACTCTTCATAATCTGTTTACGCAGTCACGTCTATCTTACAGTCATACTGAGATGTGTGAGTTAGGAACAAATGCGGACGGAGACTATTCACCTTCATTCCGTTTTGCCATCAGTTCCTTTTTTACCCGGCTATGCTTCTCTTACTGCTATCATGCAATTACATCAGGCGGTAAGGAAAAGCTAACCAATTCTGCTTATTACGTTTCTAACCCTCCTTCTAAGAGATTTTCCAGTTTTCTTCTTACTCGCACACGCCTAGCGTACAGCTAAAACAAAAAGCCTTAGCTTGTTGATTGAGGCTAACCACGTCTGCCTAAAACACAGCAAATCAGTTTTCATTCTGTTTGTCTCGGTCTATAAGTGCGCAGCGGCAGAGTTGAAAACGAATCTTTGCCTTCTTGCTCTTATTACTCCGTGATGGAACACCATGACATATGGCAACTCGTGGGTTTAAACTAGATGCTATAGTATAATCGTTTGAATTACAGTTTTACTGGTTCTTCCATCATCACACATTTGCTCTTCGACACTCAGCTAAGGAAAAGAAAACTTGGTTCCGGCTACACAAGGGGCTCTCCTTCAGAACGACCCAAATTTTGCTAAGACATTTCGAAGCAATGGAACAATGGTTTAAGACGGGTATAAAGGCAAAGGCTTGGTAACTCTAGCAGGATGGTTATGATGAAAATTATAAGACAAAAATAGCGAGATACATAACTCACCAAGTGGTTTACGTTAGCCCATCTGTGCGTATTCCTGCCTGCAGTCTAAGAGGATTATAACGCTATCTATTGTTGGTTATTCGCTTATCTCGTCACTTGATGGTCATAGGCTATACTCACGTAGTGTAAATGTATCAGGGTATCGTCAGGGCACTTGTAAATAGTATTAAGATGAAAGTGTTAATAGCATGCGGTGGGAGGGTGTTCCATGGCTGGGACACCAGAGGTAAAAAAACGTTTCATCGACATTCCGGTGGGCTGTACTGCGTGGCCAATTTAAACTGATAACCCTTAGCACACGTGTTTTGACTAAGTTTCAATAGTTAGTGACATGTGTGGTAGGGGTTTCTGATACACCATTATGAAATCTCCCCGAAGGCGCTGATTGCGTTCGCTATATACTCCTAGAGTTCTCAGCCTAAGGTGCAACAAATGTTTGATGTTCTTCGTCGCCCGGCGTTTTTTACTGCCGAGTTCAGTGAGTTGGTGTTTTTACTTTCAACTGAACAGCCATTATTGTTAATAAGAATACCATAATTTCCGTTGCACTTTGGACTTTGCTTCAGACGCTATACAAAACAACCGTAAAAATTTGGTCATCCTGAAAAGAACACGTGTCGTGGAACCAAAAGTCTACATCAATATGAATAGTGTTATTATTGATGATGGAGCTTGCCTGGAGATAAAAGTACACAGGCACTAACCAACTGTCTTCACTTACACGGAGCCAAAGCACACTTGTAGGAAAACAACAACCTAGCTTTATTATTGTATCTGCTATAAGAATCTACTTCCATAATGCATCTGTCACTAAGAAATGTTTCACAAGAATCTTGTGTTACCGTCGCCACACAAGTGTTATGCTGTCGGACCATCCTGGTAGCTTGATATTAATTGTGCCGAGAATGCAGTTAGCTTTCCCAATCAATAAAACACTAGCCACTTTTGAACACCTGGGTACTGTCATCATCCGTAATAGGCTACATCAAACAGAATTATACTTAAGAATGCATTAGATCTTGGTAGCCTATTCACGCAATTACTTAAATCAGTCAACTCCAAACACTTTATAAGTGATAGTCAACGCATTGGAACATGTTATCTCGAACATGGAACATGTATCCCGACCGTGCGAGATACGGTTCAACTAGGTGTTATAAATTCGCTTAGAAAGAGTGTCAGTTTGTGTAAAATATGTGTATGTGCGCTATCTCCCTTTCTTAATCTGAGAGTGCTACTAAATTTAACAAATGAAAACATGGAGATGACAGCTTTCTACCTAATAATTGTGGCTGCAATGGTGATGTGGTAATCAAGGGGGATATAATACCGGTAAGAATATTAGCGTAGCTGGATGTAGTAGCATGCGGAGGACTGTGCAAAATGAACGCAACCAGTGAAACTGGATTCGCATATACTGTTTTATCTTCCTTAGCAGATGTCCCTGTCCTTTGGGATAAGTCAGACAGAACTGTCACCCTATATATGGTTGACGATAGTTTGAAAACGAGGTTTAGACTCAAGGCTAGACTGTATGAAACTTTATAACTTGTGGTTTAGGCTTGGTTGTAACATGGTTTCCAAATCCGAACATCGCAGTCCGCGCGATTAATTATGCGCGGATGTGGCAGGCTGAAAGTTCGTTGTGATTTGGGATGATCTCTATGAATTGAGGTCTGGATGAAATGTTGATCCCATAAACGATACACCTTGTTTGGCAAATACTCGTGGATTCCAAGATTGCACTCCTGAGTGTGACCACTACCGTATCTAAGTCAAGCATTCATACTATCTCAATTGTGAAAATTTAAAACTGAGTGACCTATGTAAGTTTACTGCATGGAGTGCCTCACACTTAAATTGCATACTCGTGATTATGTTGATGAAAGATAATCAACCAACCTCAAAACGTATTTTAACGCTTAGCTCTCACACAAGTGACCTTCGCAGTTTTACTCATACTGACGGGCTACATACGACAAATAACAACAGATAGCCTACTTTGGTTCACCGTGAGAAGCCGATCCGGATCGCAAACATAGGTTTGGGCATGTTCGTAACTCCCCTTCAGCGGTAGACACAGGTCTTTTGTTCGCATTATATTTGGGTAGGATTGCACTTGAGCAGTGAATTCCAGCGGATATTCAGCATCCGTAATGCTACTGAGTAAAAGTGTGCAACTGAGTGTCACAAACAGCCGGCACGGTTGACCCATGGTATTGAAGAAATTAGAATTCCAAGAACACCACTTCGTCAATTCCACTAGTGACAGTCAGCAACACGATTATATACGCACCATCTAAGCAGCTAGCGCGCAGTGCTGGCCTTAAGGTTGTTCATTCGGGTTTAAACTGGTGTATCCGTTGTTTATCACACGACCTGCCTATATGTTTACATTCAGTGGGCCCATCGAACAAAGTCGAATACCATAAAATGGCCTGTTGCGAAGTAAGGTTAATCATGTGTGTTGTTTGACAACGTTATAGGTAACGGAATTGCTCATTTTCACAGTTTCTACTATTACTATTGAAGGTGTGTTGTTTGGCATCCATGGTCAAAAATTTTGTGTTGGTTTCCGGCGAACAACTCGTGGTGCCAGCTGAGTGGTTCGGGCTATTCCTTTTCCGGTGAATGGTTTGGCAAGCTTTCTCCCTATAAAAAATCACAAATGTCTGCTTAACAAAATACTGCAACGGAACCAGTGTGATTCCCCGCTAAATAAAGTCACTGCCACACGCAGTCAATGGACGCCACTCATCCAGTATAAAGTTTCCCTTTCACCTCTTCTCAAGTAGACGGCCCGACCGAACTACGGCGTCACGTCTACAAATTCAAGCAACGCAGCTGTAACCATTCATACCGACATGCACACAAATACACATCACAGCTCCAATATACTATTGATAACATTGTAACATTATTGTACAGTTGCCGTCATCCTTGTTGGTATTGCAGTGATCATGCCTATCCAAGCTTGCCTCGCTATGTCGAGAATAAATCGAGTAAAAGAAAGTATAGCTTCTCGATGTTACACTTGGCATACCAAAGAAAGCACGATCAGTTTTGTACAAGCAGATATGTGACATTGGCTGTTTGGTCAAATGTTAATCATGACATTGTAAGTGAGTAGATTCCTGAGATCAAAGATATGAGATGTGGTTATGACAGCTGTTTAGATATTGAAAAAGCAAATTGTTTTGCGAATGCCAAGGTGTTGATAGGCGCGAAGGCTTATATAGATATTTATCCCAAGTAAATGTTGTATTAGAGACTCAACTTGTGTTTCGGTCAGTTACATTGTATTTCATTTAAAGGCTTGGTTACTACTTTGCACTGAACATGGGAGCGGATCTTCCTTGGATAGAAGAAATATGCAGTTGCGGCAGCACGAATTTGGTTTTTCTGAAATACTTCAAAGATATATGTGACAAGAGTTAGGCACAGCCATCAACATGTGTAAATTTGTGTCCGCCCAAGTCGGAAACATGGTTGTATGCATGTAAATGGCTGTAGAAAATGCGTACATGCTGTGGAAATCAATGTGTGTGCGCATGAACAAAGGCTCAGACATGAACTCGGACGGTTGGCGTTCATCAAAGTCACAGTCGGATACTATTTGCTGCCAGTGTTTTCACATTTTTGCCGTTAGCTTTTGTCGCACGCCGCTGGATGTACGCCTGTTCGTCACAGTTTTACAAGCCCCATCTATTTAAAACACCTTAGCTGGAATAAATTTCCCGGGGATTGTATCTATTGGATTAGAAAATTTTAGGCAATTTAGTGCCCTTAGTCACTAGCTAAAGTTCGCGCAATTAAAATCACCCATCAGGGATTTTTACCCTTTTCGTTAGAAGAGCCGGTCAGCTTTTGAGTAAACTTGTACTCGTCTCATTCCATCACCACGTGAGAAAACTACAGAGCAAACTACGTTCCCATTGTGAAACCTCGAGGAAGACAACCGGCAACTTGCACCGCTCCTCATTTCAGTCGGTGCGTTCAGTCAACATGCCCAACCAGATAGTGGTTGACCCTAGCCGCCCTAGCCGCGACCGAATAGCGCATAGGTGCAGCACACAAAGTAAGATGAGCCAGACAGCTGACCTTGACTTGACGATCGGCAATCAAACGCTAGTCGACGACTAGGCGCTGCTAACCCACGATACATGCAATCGCCATTCGGTCACCATGGCCACAACTCCAGTAACCCGAAACGAAGTCCACTGTGCTAAGCAGACATGTGCTGGGGCAGTAAAAGTAGGGAACACATTTTACATTGTACTAGCCATTACCATCCAGAGTGCGTCAGTCTGTCGAACCGAAAGAAAGAAGTGTAAGGGTACACCGGGCTCGCTTTGGTTCTGTGCCAAGTGCATGACTGTTCCACTTGTAAAATATGTACAAGCGTTAACACAGAAGAAAGTAACCTAGGCACCGAAACTGGGCATCGTCTAAATGCGGGAATTACCTCGATCAAAGCTACAACAGCCTAACTTGAACTTCAGCCGTCACCCCCAAATGCTACCTCGAAACAAAGATAAAGAGCCAGGCCTACCCATAGCCACGCTTTACCAGAAACCAGGAGCCAACAAATCGTCGAAAACGGTCAAAGCATGACCGCCTCCACCGCCCATATCGTCTTCTCCAGCGTATCGACTGGTACAACATCCGTAACATCTGCACTTCCGTTTGACTGATATAACCGAACCTCTCTAGAGATAGATTCACTTACGCAACCGTTGCTGCTCGATATATCCAAAATGCGACGTCAGTAACTTTATCATCTACAGCCACACCACGGGTGAAGGACCAGATGCAACCTGTAGGGACGTCACAAATTTCTCGATAGCCAAGCCTCCCACATCACCGAAGACCAGATGGAACTACGGTGCTGTGATACCCATTTGCACCAATCTTCCTGCTTCCAAGGCAAGCTCCTTAAAGGGTGAACAGCAGGAAGATTGGAAACAGTAGGATTTCCTTTGTGATCAAACTGAGGCTCGGGCCAGGCCGACTAATACAATGCGCATCGATAGACATCCAAACTCAATGCACTACCACTAGTGCCGGCTTATGCGAGTGAAGTGCGGACAAACCAGGGGCATAAGAACGTCCTAGTGAGCAGATGTGATACTGCGTACCGGTTATGCTATGTGCGGTGTGGGTCTTAAAGCGCGAAAGCATGGGCGAGGTTTTTAACCTGAAACTTACTTGATTAGGGCAGCAACGCTAACCTGTAAACTTAGGAGGTACTACAACGCAGTAGGCGGATAACGACGTGCGACATGCGGGCAAGAAGGTGGGCAAGCGACGCGGTAGACAAGGTACTGCTAAATAAACGTGAATCAGCTACCTGCGCACTTACATTTTGCAAGTGATCGTATGTTGCACGTTGCACGATGCATATTATTGGATCACTCATGAATATGGTAAAAGGAATGCGGCATATTGCAAGTAGGGGGCGACAGACGGGAAAGTTAGTAGGCAAGGGACGCGGGAGACGTGGTGCTGTCTAGTTGGATAATATTACTGACGTGCCAGGTGCTTAGTACTCCCAAATAACTGCCACAGTTGTGCCATTATTTCTAATGCTCAGAGAAGCATTATAGGTCCCATAACATGGGCGGCATACTCGTAAATCAACAGGCATCGATTTTGGCTTTACGATCGTAAACCTGTTTGTCCAACAGAAGAACCTTATTGTTGTCGGTATCAACCTCCATGAACGCTGGTTGCTTAGCACTTGCAGGTCACGCGACACTGACATCAATATTACTACGAGCTAAGCCTCAACTATTGGCTCCAGTGCCTTAAAGACGTATTCTTAGTTGTCCTACAGTTGTTCCATATTAGTTGTTTCATGTTGGCGGCTAGTGCTTACGGATATTGTTGTCTTCACAGGCGTTCAAAACCGGCGTTTACTGAGCTCATACTGGTGACACAGCGACAACGTTCTTTCGGCGGCTAATAATACTAGTACAACGGACCTCACACGACGCCTTGAATGTAGTTTACTACGTCCAACTCAGTGCCTTGGCAACTGCGTCAGTATCGTTGCTATGGAAGTAGCAGCTGTTGACTACGCATGCCTAACAGGAATGTTTGGCGCACTATCAACACAGGTTTCATAGGAAAATCGTTTTAATTCGCTAATTCATGTAGTGGTTGCTGAGGCTGCATGTAGAAGTCTGATGATTAGGCCAATTTGAAGTGGTGCGCTATGGCTTTGTTGGGTAGTAGGTCACACACGTCACGTCGCAATGTTGTTAAAAGGACCGCTAGGCTTTTTATAGGATGCACGCTTGCCATGAGAATGCACTCCACATCCTGGAAAGCCGCAGTAGGTTATTTCGAACAATAAAATTAGTTGGCAATGCATCATACAAACGGATTTTTCACCTGGGTATTTGCAGTCGCGTGTGGTTCAAATTTCTCTGTTGCCTGACCGTACGACTTAGTCAAAGTCCGGCCTTGGTCATTGAAGCCGGTCGAAGATGATACTGGAGTATTGGAGTCGGATGCATTTTGCAAGTGATTAAAAATTTTAAGGTAATGTAAACTAGCTTCTGCCGTGGTGTACTTGTTCGGGTTTTGCAAACTTCTCGTCCAGCCTTCCACACCGAACGTGTCATATAGGTGGTGAGTGAAGTTGCGTATCGTGGCTGAATTCCTACACCTCCAGCAAAAGCGGCACCCTTCAGTTCAAAGCAGGACCCTTAAGAACCTTCTATTGAAATTTTGAAATTCTGGATAGAAGTTTAAAAGGGATAGAGCCTAACATAGGCCAGTTAATATGGCATGTTTTGGTAAAATAGGATCAAAAATCCTTTAATGGTAGGTTAACATGAGGTGTACTCGTCCCCGTGGTCAAGTGAAAACACCATGAAGTGCCATAGGAAAGGCTTCAGTAAAATGTCCTAACAGAAGTTCTTAAAAACATTGGAGTGGCCGTACCCGTTTGTTCGAGGGTATTTGAAGAGCAACAAAGATGTCCATGAAAGGACATCGGAAACGCTCCAGTTAAATAAAGTAGCATAAGGTTCTTTCATCAATGAAAGGCATCGAACCTAAATGTGATTATGACAGCCTGAAGCAGCAAAGCTTTTGAACAGAATCATCTGCCATCCATGTAACTATACAATTCCAGACAAATTGCGATAAAGTGAATACAGGTCGTGCTAAATGCAGTTTTTAAACAGCATAATAGTACCACATCTCTAGAATGGCGCTAAGAAACTCTAACTGAAAAGCTGTGTGAATTATTCAAAAAATTGTATTACGCTTCCGTGCAGAAAAAAGGATTAGTTGTTCCAGCAAGCTGGTTCTTCTGAAATGTTTATC